TCCCTTTCCTTCCCTTGTATTTTATATGGCAAAAAACTTTTTTCGTATAAATGGTATAGAATTCTTGAAAGTTAATATTTTCTGCCGAAAAACTCGGTTCCCTTCAGAAGACTTCCAATAATAAAACACAATTGTTTATTTAACAATTTTTTAATATTAAATATATATTTTTTATAGGTCCCCAAAAAGCCCCCCAAAAAAATGCTTTAAAAACAATCAATTGGGTATTATTTAGGGCAGTCTTCTGCAAAAATAAATCGCTTTCCGATCGAAAAATATTGATTTTCAAGAATTTTATACCATTTCCAAGAAAAATTATTGTTCCCCATGTTAAATACATGGAAAACTTTGAGCGCTTTGAGTGACCTCAAAATATTTATTGATTTCGAAAAAAAAACAACAGTAGCAAATTTTTTCGATGTAGAACAATCCTAGGCGGTGAGAGCATTCAAATTCGGACTTTACTATTTTCACATGCATTTTTGGACCACCCTAATGTGCATATGTCCTTTGTGTGTGTGTGTGTGTGTGTGTGTGTGTGTGTGTGTGTGTGTGTGTGTGTGTGTGTGTGTGTGTGTGTGTGTGTGTGTGTATGCGGTATTTTCTTATCACTGCATTTTCTTAAGTGCGCTCATGCTAGTTAAATAAATTGCTCTAGTATATTTATATGTATAAATTACTTGGTGCTCATACATATCACTTAGATTGACAAGCAAATATTTACATAAAACTAATATAATGGACAAAACAAATATAGGTATAGACATGTTGTACATGCAAATGTTCTATACCTACGTATATGTGTACGTAGGCATTGATGCATGCATTTCTAACTACAACAACTAAACAAATAATCTATTTCTCATTTTAATATTAGAAAATAAATGTGACAACTATTAGGGTGTGTGTGTGTGTGTGTTTGTTTGTATAAATGCGAGCATGTATGTACTAGTATATTCCTTGGTATGCTTGTACATTAGAGTGGTTCAAAAATTTTTTTCCAAAATAGGTTTGGAGGCACCTTTCAAAACTTTTCTTTTTGACGAAAGAGGTGATGGCACCAAACTTTACGTTTCTACTAAATATAAATTTAGAGGCTGCTCATGATTTAATTAATTAATTAATTTTTTTTCAATTTGTGCAAGCTTTTAAACTTTTATTATTGTGGTTTTTGTTATAGATTGTATTACGTTTTAAATGAAAATTATTAAAAATAAATAAATAAATACATAAATATAATTTGCAAGCAATATCATTTTGAATTTCGTTGCTAATTAGTTGATCGCATCTGTATATGTACATAGGACCATTTCAAATTTAAATTAGCTGCAAAAATATTGCCAGCTTCAGTTGCTATGGCAACACTAGCTTTTTTTTTAAATCATCAATTTTTTTCAGTTTCAACAGGATTCAGAAGCGCATTTCGGGTTTATTGAGCATCCTGAATTTAATACAGTAGAACAATGAAAGTTAAATACCAAACGGAAAAAACTTTCACCATATAAAACTTGGACCACTCTAATGTACATATTCATAAAGTACAGAAAGATGCATACATAGTATGTGTGTATGTTTCTTTTTTGTTCAATTTCTCGTTGCTAAGTGCAAAATTTATTGGATTATGCGGCTATGGTTTTCTTTATTTCCATCTTAAGTAAATTTTAATGAGAATTCTAATATTTGAGCAATTCCACAGTTCCACAGTTTTATCGATTTTTAAGCACCTGAAAATACAAAAAATAATCAAATTCAATAATAAATTGGTCAAATCAAATTCACTTAACAAAAAGGAAATGAGATTCTTAATACATAGAAATTGATTAAATATGAAATTGTTAAAGCAATAATAAAATTTGAAAGTGCTCTTTCAATTTGTTTCACAAATAAATGTGATGACAAACACTCAAATAAAACCACATCACATAGCAACCGCATTTTGATTGCCAAATTCGAAATTTTGTGTGATATTTATGTATGGGCAAACTCATTTTGTGGCTGCCTGCCGTCGCTGTCATCAACTTATCTTTTCATTCAATTTTATTCCGCTTCCACTCCCGAAGCAAAGCCTAGTTGATGAACGTAATTTACAATTAAAATACCATAAACATAATATTTAACCGCTGTAATAATCATTTTACCTATCTGCCTATAATTTGCAGTGAAATTATTGCGTTTACCACAATCTGATTTAGAATTTTAAGTTACTTAGCATTCGTTCGCTTTAAAGTTTGGAGAGGATGACAGCGATAAATTCAATAATTTAATAAATATTTGGTTTTTTATCATATGTAGCTTAAGTTTTGTGTGTATGAAGAAAGGCTTAAAGTTGTATCTTTCCTTAAGAAAAATATTCTTATGTTTAAAAATAGGAATTACTCAATAAACTACTTCCTTTAGAGTGCAAAAGTGGCTTGAGGAGGCAAAAGGTTTCTTAAACAGATGAAAGCCGCTTAAGCTATTCTAAACTGTTAAAAGCTTTTTGCTAAAACTAATTTTTAACTATAAAATGGAAGGCACTTATTGGATTAACTGAAAGCTTCCTAAGTCCAGTGAGAGCTTTTTCATAATTATGAAAGTCATTTTAGGCTTATAACAGCTTTAGGAAAAGTGATTTTCATTCAAGCGCTGAAAGCTCTAAAGTAAAAAATGAAAGCTCTTCGGAAAACAAAATCTGTTCCAAAATAGCGAATGCTGTTCTAAACTTGTGAAAGTTATTTATGCAACGCACTAAGCTCTAAGATCATAAAAAAGTAAATAGTAACGCACTTTATTTAGCATAAAAACCATAAAAGTTCTGTCAAATAAGTTTTGCAACACTGAAAGCTTACGTTTTTAAGCTTTGGGTGTTTAGCATTTAGTTTATAGAATATTATATTTCGATATTTTTTTTTTATAGTGAAAGCTCCTTTACAAAATGTAAACATATTTTTCGAGTAGTTCAAAAAAAAAACTACAGAATGCATAAAAAAATTCAAAACATATACCGTCGGTACATGCGAAAAAAGACTCGAGCTTAAGAGTTGACTCAAAAAAAAACTTCGGCGAAGAAAGACTCGTAAACCTATTTCTTCGTCTTATTTTTTAACGTGTCCTTTTCCGCCGTCAAAATAGTACTAGTGCATCTTTCTTCGCATGCAACGATAATATGTATAATTTCGACTGTTTTCCTTATTTGCCAAGGTAAGAAAAAATTCACATAGAATATTTAAAAAGTTCATTTAATTTGGAAATAGTTAAAACTTTGAAAAAAGCTCAGCTTCCTGTGTGTTATTGTTTTTTTTTTAACAATGAAAGCTTTTCGAAAGCAATGAAAGCAAGTCATTTGTGTATGTTTACATAGATATGCACATTAAAAAGCTTCGCGAGATGGGACATTAATAACTTTAGCTTTATATAAAGCTTATCCCAGTACAGGCATTAAATTCAAATTTTGTAGGATGAAAAGCTATTGAGCTTTGTAAAATCTGAGATTATGCTGCATTTTTGTTGATGTTAATTCGTTCCAAAATGCAGGTGAAAGCTTTTTAGTAGCACTTAGAGCTCAAATGAAGTAATGAAGTCTTCAACTTTTAACAGAAAGTAATGAAAAATTAAAGCACATTACGATATCCTCACTATTTCGTACTTTTCTTTAAAAAACATTCAATATGCTTTTAAAAGCTAAAAAAGCTATTTGTGTTTCCGAGAAACAAAAATTATATTGAAAAACCTAAATGTTGACGCGAAAAAGTTAAAAGCTTTTATTGGTTAAGAAAAAAACAATTCCAGGGACTCTCATGAAAGCTACAAAAGCTTTTTATTCAGTGATTTACAGATTTTAGAGTTGATAAACGGTATTTATAGAGCTTTTAATAAAAATATTGAAACAGTGTTTAATATATATTTTGGAACATGAAAATTTCTTTTAAGGCTTGAAGAATGAATACCAATCATTTTGTGTGAAAGCTCGAAACGATTTGTGTATGTATTACGAAGAGGAAAATTAAAAAGTATCTTCACATATGCAACTTTAAGGCAGTATTATTCAGAGTTTCCAATTTGTCCCAGCCAGAGCTGTATTAAATATCAAAGAGATACAAAATTTATGAAAACCTTTTTTTGCCGTATTTATATTTTTTGGGAGTGACTGGTTTAGATGCACGAGAGCTCGTTTGTACTTAATGCGGTAGCAATTAGTGAAAGCTTTTACTCCATGCGCACCCGTATAAACACCATAAAGAGCTTTAAAAAGCTTGAAAAGAATTTCTATGCACCATACAACACTGCAAAATTAAGTAGAATTTCTGTATGTATTACTTTTCATAAGCAAGGAAAGCTTCTTAGGGATATGAAAGTTTTAAGTCATAATTAATTCATTTGTGTCAGACATATATGGGCCATTCCATACAATATTTACACCTCATTATTTTTTTTTTTTGGTGAAATATATTTTTTACATTGTTTATCGAAAAAAAGAAGACACCTATTTTTTTATTTCGTCATGATATTCGAAAATCTCGAAAGCTTTCAAAAGCTCGACTCACGAGCCTGAGGCTCTTCAACTGTTAGATAAACCTTTCGGAAGGTAATGGATCCATGTTTGAGGATTTCTAAAGTATTTTTCAGAAAAATACGGAAACTCATTACAAAAGCCCTTCAAAATTTAGTGAAAGTATTTATTTGTGTCTCTTCCTAACTAGAATACGAATATTTCTTTGAAACTTAAAGGAACCGTATTTGTTTGACTCATTAATGCTAGGCGTACAGAGCGTTGTAAACTCTTAAGTAGGTAATTAGTGGCGATGATTATTTTTTATTATCTTTTACTACCTCTCTTGCTCTCTCTCTGCCCTGCTTGACTCCTGTCCGGCCTGCATAAAAGCGCATCCTCTTCTTAGCTTACTTCAGTTCATGCCTAGTTCTCATAAAATCCATAACGCGCACAAAAACAGAATTCCGCATTCGTCTGTTCGTCTTAATCGCGTCGCTGCTGCACCTGACTACAACACCTGGACACCGCCATGCCTTACTTTCGCTCCAGCTACACCTTTAGCATCGCAGGCAGCGTGCGCACCTTTCATCATCGCTGGTATATGGGTGGAAGAGTTTACGAATGCGACGCTTGTAGCAGCTCGTGTGACATACGCGCCTGCTACTCGCAACATTGGCAGCCGGCACTGACTGCGTGCGCGCTCGATATTTCTGATGACATCAGTCGACCGCTTTGCAGCACAGAACAACGCGCGCAGCTGGCAATAGTAGCCGCGCGGCGCATCAACACTTTCATACTTTGCAATGAGCGCACAAGCATAAGGAACCCCAGTGAATTTTTGCTCGACGCCGGCATCAATGCCGTCCCCCAGCTGCTTCGGCTGCTCTTTCATGGCGTCTCCCGACTACACGTACGCTTGGGCTTCCATACGCGCGCCTACAATGGCGCTGACTTGCTGTTTAACAGCAGCGAACTGGCGCTGGAGCATCACTTAGACATTGGCGAATCTGTGGATATGTTGTTTCTCATGTTGCTGGAGCGCATAGAGGCGTATATGTATGTGCGTTATCCAACACGTGCCGCCGAATATTGCGTGAAGCGCATAAAGATTCACGTGCGTCGAGAGACGCTCACGAAAAGTGGAGAGTCAGCATCAACTTTAGCGACGGACGCCACACTACCGCTACAGTACCGCATAAAACATGCTACAGCAATGCCTAGAGACGCGCTTAGCGTTGAAGCAACAGCGACTGCTAATATTTACTGCTTTCGCGTATGCGCGCGCACACAAGAACTGTACGCGGTGCCTTATCAGCTAGGCAAGTGTCGTATCAACGGCGGCGGTGGCGAGAAAGACGAATCGAATATTTTGAGGTGGCCGTGGGACACAGAAGGCTGCGGCTCTCACTATATTATGCTGCAGAGTGTGGAGGGCAAGTTGCAGCAGCTTTTGGAGATCACGAACTTGTATCGCTTCCTGCGCACCGAAGCGGATGACCGCGTTCATATGTGCACACGGTGTAGGGCGAATTTTACGCAGCGCACAAGGTTGCAGCTACACAAATCACTGGATTGCGGGCGCGGTTTCGAGGTACTTCATTTGGATAGCAACTATTTGGAGATTTACGAGAGTTGCCTGCAAATGCGCTGCGCCAACTACAAATGGCCGCTGTACGGTATAATACAGTGAAGGCAATGAAGGGAGGCAGCAACAAATTACTAAAAAAAATCGAACAAAATATTAAACAAGAAAAAATATATCGTCGTTTAAAATAAAAAAAACTGCGGAGCCTCATTCTCTAAAACAGCCTAACTGACAATTGCTGTCAAAAATTGGATTTGCTCACACAAGCTCTTAGCTCAATCCTTATCCATTCGTCCTGAAATATATTAGCCAGAAATGCGATTGCTTTATAAAAAAGAGAATCATTTTGAAATATGAGTGTTTTTACTCTCTATAAAATAATTTATGCAACCTCACATACGCGGTTTTGCATTTTGTTGATACGCGGTTTTGTACTTTAAACGACGATATAAGACTTTAGCATGCGAAAAATTAAAATCTTTTTTTAGTTTTATATTTAGAATTATGTATATACATATATCAAACCTAAGTTAACTGTTCGGCCCCTGAATCTATGGCTCTAGAAGAAAACATATTTTCCAAGTAGGCGAACAATCTCGGTGCTTAACTTGATCTAGGCTGAAGCAGACTCCTCGGTTCTGCGATAAATAAACAAAATTCGAACTTGTTTCATTCGAAAGCTTTCCTACACTCGAACGCTCTGCTCGTTGAGTGAGGTACTAAAGATATTCAGAAAACCTCGAAATCACTACAAAGTTTCAATAAGGTTTTTAAGAAATCATAAACTGAAAAAAATTAAAGCTCTGTTTATTACAAAATGAAATCTTAAATACTCGGATTTCTCAAATGTTTTTTTAGAGGAGGCAATAAAAATATTCAATGATAATATTCCATAAATTAAAATTGAAAGCTCAAAAGCTCGCTAACTTAAAAATTAATACAAATTATAGATGTGTAAAAAACGTGAAACATGTAAGAAAAGTATCCTAAAAAAATGTGCCAAGAGCAAAAGCTCACGCTAAAAAGGATACTAAATTTTTAAGGCACTATTAAGATTGACTTTTTTCGAATACAATGTGTAAGAATTGAAAGCTTATCTTCTCATAAACGAAAGGTCAACAAATTTTAATGCAACCTAACAGCAATAAAATACAATTTTTGAGCAATTAAAATAGCTAAGAACGCGTTCATGCTAAGTGAAAGTTTGTGGACTTTAAAAGTGAAGTGAAAAATTTATAGAATCTCCGAAATCAAGTAAAGCATCCTTTGTTTTTCTAAGCATTTTTCATCGGTGCCAAATCAGAAGTTCGCTTGCATACTTTTTTAATATTTAGTTAATTAATTAATGGCTTAGTAAATTATTCTGAAATGCTACTCCAGAATATGAAATCTATAAAAAAATTTTAGTTTAAAATTTAATTTCATTGAATATTTTTGCGTAGGGAAAGCTCACCCTGCAAAGAAAAAGTTAAAGCTCGAGCAATTAATATTTTAGAAAGCACGTACACAAAGCTTTTTTATTTCTTTTTTTATCTAAAAATATACACAAAGAAAATCGAAGCTAAGCGCTTAACGGTAAACGTGTTTTAATTACTAAAAAAAGTGTATTCTAAAGGAAAGCTCCAAACGCTCTATAATGCTACGAAAACAGATTTGGACCTAAAACATTTTTTTTTTGAGTTCACAACACATTATGCTTTTAAAATACTAAAAACGTTCGTCCATGAAAGCTTTAACGATTTCCATAGAGCTTCCACCAACACCATAGCCGCATATCACTTTTAGTTTCCTTAACAGCTGTCATTTAACAATTTCCGCCAATTTCATGCGCCAATTAAATTCAAATTTAATCAATTCAACATGTCGCAGATTAAAGGTGCGGATAACGACGACCAAGCGCTTCTGATGTTTGGGACGGCCACAACGCTAATTGGCTGGCATAAGTGACGCCTGTCAGGCTTATTTACCACCTTACCTGCTTCGTTTACTTAGCCACTCGTGCCACTCAGAATTTTAAATCGGTTTTAGCAACTCAAACTTTTTTATTCGTAAGATTTTAGCGTAGATTTAGCTTTGCAATGTGGATATGCAGCAGCACAAAATTTGGCTAAGGCGTTGTTTGGTTCTACGTTATTATGGAAGTAATTAGTAATTTATAATATTACAAAGTGTAATTAGTCACCTGCGTGTGTTTGTGTGTGTGTGTGTTGAGGGAAAGATTTGCTGCAACAGGTGTTCCGCGAAAAGGATATAATTATAAATTCATTTAAGCTAAAAATTATGCAAATCAGACCAGGATTGGAACTGACTGAGACAACAGGGGGAAAGTTGTTCTAATTTGTTAGTGTTAAAAGAGTAAAAGAGCTTTCATTTCAATTGAATTTTCCATTAATGATATTAAGCATTCTTTTTTGGACGCCATTAATAGTCGTTCACTTGGCAGGCTAAGACCAAATATTAAGCAACTAAGTCTAATAATTTGTATTAGAGAGGAAGTTTAAAATGTGTCTTGCTCGTAGGAATTAAAAAATAAAGCACAAAAAAGGTTTAAGGCTCCCATAAAAGGAGTCATATATGCAAACGTTGTGATAAAGTGTTGGCACTATTTAGTGAAATTATTTTAGAAATTGCTTTGCTCTTAAAAAGAGATGAGAAAACTTTCTAAAAAAATTGAAGTCTTGTGCGTTTTTTTTTGCGACTAATATTGAGCGGACGAAGCTATAAAAGTTCTCTTTGCATATATATTCTAAGTAATAACAACTTAAAGTTTTGAAAGAAATTTTTACCTAATTATTCAAATAAAGCGAAATGAAAGTTTTCTGCATGGAAATTGTTTCGCCCTTTTTTTGATCATTGAAAACTTTGTCAAATATGTTTTTCGCACAAATTGCATACATTACTGCTATAAATACAGTAGTGAACTTTCAACAAGTTTTGAGAATTTTCTAAAGTTCAAAAATTCTATCAATAGCTTTTAAATATTCTATTAAGCTAACGGTTTCCTGATTATCCGAAAGAAATTACGGTTTTTCTTCGCTATGGCAATGCAGTTCTTAATGTTCGCGCGACTTTCATTAAATGTTGATAGCTTAAGGGCTTTTATTAAGCTTCATAGTCCTTTGAACACTCCCAGTTAAGTACCGCTCCTAAAAGTTTCGTTTTGTGTGGATTGTAATTGTAAAAGCTTTCAATGAGTATTAAGATCTCTTCTAAAACTGAGTTTACTATTTTATTTGCACGCTTGTTATTTAAGCTTTCTTAATATTTTTTAACGAAACACGTCCTGTGGCAGAAGTTTTCTAAAGCTTTCTGTAGATTTTATATACGCGCCCAAAGGGTGTGTTTAATAAAGACGGGCATAGACCGAAAACCCTTCCTCTCTCAGACCACTTCTACGCCTAACGCTTCTTATGACTTATGATTACTAAGTAAATCGGCGTTTCGTTGATCTTTTCCGGTGTGCTAATAGTTGACTATTGAAAATATTTTGTTTAAAGCTTTTCGTATTTCGAGTAGGAACAGCATATCCCGCAGGGAAAGCTTTTAAAAGCTGTAAGTATTTTCTCATTGTTGCTGTGCTATTTAGACTTGCACAGATTTAACTCTACTATTGCACATCATTTTATGTGGCTTTCAGGCTTTTAGATTAAATGTGAACTTCGCTTTTAGTCACTAAGCGAAGATTGTAAAAAGATTTTTTTTGATAATGTGAAAGCTCACTAAATTTCTTAAAAGCTTTTCATTATATTGTGAAAGCTCTAAAAATTTCATAACTATTGGGTAGCTCTTGAAATAGATTTTGTAGCGCATTTAAGTGCAGTGTAGAAAAAACTAAACTTATTTTATCAAAAAGCAACAATTCAATTGCTATTTCTCGACTTTCATAGCTCTAACTCTACTATTTATTTGGGCATTTAGGAAAATGCACATCATTTTATGTGGCTTTCAGGCTTTTCGATTAAATGTGAATTTCGCTTTTAGTTACTAAGCGAATATTGTAACAAAGCTTTTTTGGATAATGTGAAAGCTCACTAAATTTCTTAAAAGCTTTTCATTATATTGTGAAAGCTCATGAAATAGATTTTGTAGCGCATTTCAGGGCAGTGTAGAAAAAACTAAACTTATTTTATCAAAAAGCAACAACTCAATTGCAGTCCAAGCAAAATCTTACCTAATTCGTTTAACTTTGTTTCGGAGAATTCTGCAATTAACCTTCGTTCGCCCTTACACAGTCATATGTACATATGTGCTTCTGTTTGAGTACTTTCTATTATTTAGAATCCTTTACTTTTTGTAAATATTTCGCAATTTCAAATTTGCAACCACATTTGACATTGAAATTTGTTAGTGCCTCACCTTCCACAACTAAAAAAAAAGATCCAATCTTTCAGCATGCTTCTATTTATTTATTTATTTTTTTTTTTCAAACTCAAAAACAACCTCTTAAGCATTTGCCACAATGCCAACAGCCATGCAAACATAAATCCCCACCAACCGCAAATAAATTTTCTTCAAATGTCAACTCAAAAGAAAATACTTAAATGTATGTATGTATGTAAGTGCATCCGTGTGTGTGCGAAAGAAAGAGGGAGAAAGATACCCTGCAGTAAATTGCGCTAGTTCGGAACTAGCGCAGAACTAGCTCTTTAAGAGCGGGTACTGGTTCTCGATCTATCCCAACGCAATGCTTTCAATTGTCTCTTTTTACATGGCGATGTCCTACGAAGTGGAAATTGCCACCTCTGCAGAACTTTCGAACTAGTTCTGAACTGGTTCAATTTTCGTCAGTTCTGGGACAATAAGTTTTTTATGAGAAAAAATTTTAAAACTAGATTGCTGGATATTTTTTCCTTTCTGAACTGTTTCCATTTGGGACAGATCTGCAACAATAAGTTTTTTATGAAAAAATTTGATTATTCGATTTTTTTTAATTTTTTCATTTTATTTAATATTTTTATTCTCTTATTTTATTTATATTAAATTTTGTCATTTTCGCTTCAATTTTTAAGCGGCATTCAACAATTTAAATTTATTAAATCTGAAAATCACAACTGCCTCCACCGCGATTTGAACTCGCGACCAACGATGTTAGAGTCGGAGGTCTTCCCGCTGAGCTATTTAGTATTGTACGAGAAATGAGAATTTGTGCATTTACTTCTCAACAGAGCGCAACTAGCACACCAAGAGCTTCAACTGTCCCGTTCTGCAGCCGTTTTGCACCAGTTCAGAGATAGTTCTGAAATATGTAGTTCGGATCTAGCGCTTTGTCAGACTGTCTCCAAATTTTACTGCAGGGATACAGCCTACATCTGTTTGCTTGTATGCAACTACTCTGTGTGCATTTGTGCGCATAAATTTGTATGTATGTGCGATAATAAAAATAATTGCAAATAAATTACGAAAGTTGTATGTGCGAACCGAGTGTAGAAAGCAGGCTGCCTGCCTGGCGGAAGCCTTTGGCTGTTTTTGAGCTAAAAGTTTGCTGTTGAGCAAAAGTTCACTAAGATCAGGCGAAGCATACTTGGCATGCGAGCGCTGCTGGATAAAACAGGGACTAGAAGAAGAGGGTGATGTGCATGATGGAGTTAAAAATTTTAGCGATTATTTTCCATATCATATTTCGAATGAAGAAAGGACACCGCGAGCTCGTTTCGAAAAATCCTAGCACAAAATCCCGAAAATTTCTGCGAAATTCCCAAAAAAACGTCCTAAAGGCCTCGTAAAAAATGGAAATAAGCATAAAAAACCATAAATTACCCAAAAGAAAGATTGCGTAAAACCTCCGAACACCCCCTTAAACAGATCGAGGCCCATTTCTGTCTTATCATTGTTACTGAGTGCTTATCGTAACTACCCATGTATCGACAAGTTGTGATTAAATATTTATTTTCTTACTATTTAATTATAATTATTTTTTTTCGAGACTTTTGGGAAATTTTTGGGGATTTCTTAAAAATTTTCGAAATTGAACATCCCATCTCTAGAGAGGCTAGGATTTTCTCCTCAGTAATGAGTAAGTACTGATGATTCGTTGAAAGGTTTGAGATGATTTGAGGGTTTTTTTTAGTTTTTTTTTACTTTTCGAAGTTTTTTGGTATAATTTCCTTACATCTGCGAAGGTTTTTCAGTATTTTTCGGGCCTTTCAACTCTCAGACCGTTCCGGGATTTACTCGTAAGAAATTTTAAGGATTTATTTAGTACTTTCTAACAATTTTTCGAGCATTGTCGAAATTTTATCAGAATTTTTAAATTAATTTCGGCTTTTGTAGGTTTAATCGGATGATTTCCGGGGGTTTCACATTTTTTTTTTTACTTTGAATTAAACTAAATTTTTTTATAAAAGTTTCGGAACTGTTTTGGTTTATTCGAATGATTTTCCATCTTTTCGCTATTTTTTAACTTTTTTGAATAAAACTTTCTTCACTAACAATTTGTAATACTTATTCGAATTCATCGGGTGATTTTCGATTATTTTTCAATATTTTTTTTTTGCTTTGAATTCACTAAGAATTTGTCATTGTTTTTCGATTTAATGGGGTGATTTTCCATTATTTTTCAGTATTTTTTTATAGCTTCGGATGATTTTCGATTTTTTCTGTGTTTTTTTTTTGCTTCTTGGAATTCACTAAAAAATTTTCATGCTTTTCCGATTTCACCGGGTTATTTGTTTTTTGTTTCTTAGAATTCACTAAAAATTTGATCATATATATTTATTTAGATTTTTTGTTCGCAAAAAATGCTATCTTTTAGCTACAAAAAGCCTAACGTTTGAACACTTTCATACAGCTACATTGATTTGAAAGCTTTACTCCGTTCGGAACGGCTAACAAGACAGTAAATCCGGAATTCTTAAGACAGTGTCATAAATATTGCTGACGAATAAATTTCATTTGACGATGGAACGATGAGATATATGAGCTTTACAACGACATGGACAAGGCACACAGATCTGGATTTGCGTAAAACATTTCCAGCCCGATACGCTGGAAAATAAAAGACGCTTTCGTAGCAGTCACTATCAAAATGTAATTCTAAGCAACAGGACTAGAACTATTTTCTACTCGGAAGCTCAAAACTCAGTCACCAAATACTCGCTGCTTCGAGAGAAAACAGAATAACAACAAAGTCACAATCGCCTTAAGATGCAACTATTTATTTACTTACTTGATACATAATAGCAAACAAGTAGCCAATCTCAAGCCAAAGGAAATATCAAAATATGAAAACATCTACAGCATTTAAGCTAAAGCATTGCAAGGGAAAAACAACGTAAGGTACACAGACACACGGATAACAAACCGCACCGCTACAGCGCGCCAGCTATCTATGTACGTTAGTAGGTACTCGTATTATGTAGTTATTCTGTACTGTCCTTGGCAACTGCCACTAAAAGGATTTACATAAGTAATTGCTGTGGTATTTCAAAGTCCAAGTCAGAGATGCAATTAGTATTAAATGTAAACAAACAACCGAGCACCGGACAGACACACGGATAAGGCGCAGGCAAAGGAACGAATGAACAAACGACCGGACGGACAAATGAACAACTCAATGGAGTGCACCCAAAAGAATTGCAGGCAATGAAAAATGACAAAGTGCCACTGCAGTACACCTACATAGTAAATATATATGCATGTAGGTAAGAGATTGTAAGAAGAAGAAGTTAGGTAGCGAAGACAGCCAGCAGTGAAAGAATGTAAATGACAAAGCAAATGCGCTTCACTTAAGTGCTTTGTAGAAGAGAATATGCAAATGTGTTGAGCGGAGACTACACAGTCATAATTATTTGCGTTTGTCGGATTTGCAGAAGGTATTGTTTGCTCTCGCCGGTTGGTTAGTTAATTATCGTAATTTTCTGAATTCTACAAAGACAATTCTAGTGTTGAGCATGATAAGAGAGACGTACTAAGGTCGGTGTGTTGTTTTTTGGAGAGAAACCCACAGAAATTTTATAACGAGTGCGGTAAGAGTCATCGAAACTTTATTGGAGTTTGGAGCTTTCAGACGTTCCAGAACTTGTCGTGCAATTATTTGGCGTCGCACTAAAAACTCAGAAGGATCATATGCATTTCTTCATAGGCACCTTAAAAATTAAGATTTCTGGTCATTTAAGAATTACGTCAGAATAACTGATACGCAATTTGACCAAATCTTAAATTTGATCAGGCCCGCCATAGAAAAACGCATAAAAAATGCTTGAAATACCATTTCGCCGGAGGAACAGTTGGCAGTTACTCTTCGGTATTTAGCGACTGGTGAAACAAATCGCAGTTTATTGATATGCTAAGACTCTCTCATTCGTATTTGGTTTATTGTACCCCAGAAGTTTGCAAAGCAATTTGGAAACATTTAAGTCGCTCATATTTAAAGGTAATAGTATTAAAAAATTACATACATACATGAAATATTTTAAAACACACTAAAATTAGAAAACTTTTTCAAAAGAAAACAATTGAGTTGACAGTTGCTACTACACTGCAAATAAAGATAAAGATACTAATAAAGATACAAATAAAGATACAAATAGAGACACAAATAGAGATACAAATAGAGATACAAATAGAGATACAAATAGAGATACAAATGAAGATACAAATAAAGATACAAATAGAGATACAAATAAAGATAACGATAACGATAAAGCCGAATATAGCGATGAAGGAGAAGACGAAATGTTTACTTTCGGAGGAATGATTTCCTTCTTCCCCGCTTAGAGAATACGTGCAGTCAGTTTTTTTATTTTCTGTTTCGTGGTGTTTTCTTCCTGGCTTAAGTCTACTGCTAAGAGCAAACCTTTTATTTGGACTATGCTGGAATGTTCTAGAAGTACATATTTGAAATAGAACGTATTTTATCTAAAAAGAATATCTGTTTGAAAGAGCCACAGAGTACTTACCCGAGCGAACCGAGTTGTGTTAACTGACAAAATTAAAAGAACCTTCGTTTATATATTTTATAGGATTTAATACATTATTTATTTGCGAAAATTAAATTTTCATACGTAATTATGTACGTGAATTATTATTATACATCATACACTTGCATACAGTTTACATTATTTTTTCAATGTTTATTTTATCAATACATGTATGTATACTTAATAAATTTTTGGCACAGTATAACAAATGTTACAACATTTTAAATTAAAATTGTTTTAATAAAAGTAAATTCGATTTCTTAGAATTTAATTTTACAAAATATTTCCAAATAAAATCTCCACATTCTTTTTAAGCGCTTAAATTCAATTTTAAAATTTGCCTCTGCCATGGCACTCATTACATACATACATATCTGCTTACTTAAATACAAGAAAGTAATATGTAGATGACAGCTTCCAGTAATGCAACCACTCCAAATTGTTGTTGCTATTGTTTTGAAACAGCTTACGCCATCTCAACCCTTGCTTGCTGCCGCCTTCCCATTCCGTTCACACAGCCGCTGCGCTATTCTCAACCACAATGACAGCGCCAACGTCAGCTGAGTTGTCAATTGTGGCAGCTGCTGCAGCTTAACTTTCACTGTCAACTGTCAAGTTTCGCCGGCGCGCTTTTTCTTTTTCACTTCTTGATCTCATTCCTTTACTTAACGCGCGACAAAAACAAAAATAATAATATTGCCTCAACGTTGTTGTTGTGTCACTTGAATCGCATCTCGCTGTCACGTTTTGCAAAGCCAACGCGAAATTGAACCGCGCTGCGAACTCACGTATTCGCTGGCTGGTGGGTTTGAAGGCTGCACTAAAGTTGAAGAAAAAGTCATTGCGCGGAAGGAAGGGCTGGCGCAAAGTTTTAAGCTCGTCTTAATTTGCGTTCGAAATTAAATATTTGTTATAGCCATGTTTTGTTAGCGATTGCTGCTTAAATTTCCAATAGTTAATTCAGTTTGCACGCAAATTGTCTGAAAAAGCGGCGGTGGCGCGAAGTGCCGGTAGGAAGAGTGGCTATGCGTTGACGTGATGAATGCCGATTGGCGTTGATTTCGGCGCATCTCAATATCTCACTTCGCGAGCTGTCACGATGTCAGTGCCTTTTGTTGCGGGAAATCAATCGCAGATTTTCTTCGTTAAAAAGAATTGATGAAAAATAAAGTTATTTGAGCACTTAAGTAAAAGTAACTGGAAGATACAAAAGATGGAGATGAAAAGGAAAGATTAGAGTGCTGTGTCAAAATGTATTGATTTGTAGAATTTCTTCGTTCACGAGTTTAAATATTCCTTTTATTTAAATTATTTGAAATCAATTTTGGTATTAGGGGAAAATGTCATGTGCTTACTAATTTGTAAATTTTTATGCTGCTAGTAAATTTTTGCAAAATTAGTTGAATCAAAAGTTGAACGAAAGTTGGCTGGCGGCCAACATCATTGAAAGCGATAAGTTGAAATGCCGTTTACACCATTCAACTGTCGCATCCAACAAAAAGTTAAACGGAAAGTTGAACAATGTTCAAATATTGTTTTTGTGATTGTACGTAAAATTTTGGAAATGTGTTAGCTGATTTAAAAATTTTTATGGAAAGTCAGTTGGAAAAAAAATTTCGTGATTCTCCGGCATTACTGATAATATCTGATTTAACTTAAATTTAAATTTTAAGTATAGCATACGAAATATGAAGGCATAAGGTTAGGAGAATTTTATTTTAACTCTTGGGATAATTTCAGGATTTCAATATTTTTCGAAATAAAATTAAACTTCAAATTTTTAGAAACAATTTATTCCTTTTAGTTTCACTGATAAATTTTTTTTTTGAAGTATTGCAATTTTTTCAATTATTTTTCGGTATTCATCAAAGTACATATGCAAATTCCGAAGTTTTCAATGAAAAAAATGTATTTCGATATTTTTTACTTCGCTCCCATATGTTTATATAAATATTTCAAGCCGTAGTAATGCTAATATCGCTTTCGGGATTGTTTGATCAACTTCGGGACTAAGCTTTTCTGATGTTTAAGTCAAATTTTGGAACATAAAAGGAGTACTGCATTCACAAATTCTGCAATTTCAAACCCCTTTTAGCTAAGGTAATAATTCGGAATTAATTTAATTACTTACGGACTTTTTCATACATTTTAATTAATGACCTACATCAATAATATAATCATCTTAATTAAGTGAATTTTAGGGTTGAAGGCGATCAAACTTAAAATTTCGCTATAATTTGACATTAGAGGACTTCCAGAGCAGGCGAGTCCACGCTTACTGTAAGGACAAAGCGGTGAAATCACTGCTTTTCGTGATATAGGAATGGGGAAATAGAGCAGTCCTCTCGACAGAACCTCGCGTAGCAGTTTTCTTGTAATGGAGGTAGCTTTAAATAACGCCCAGTCTGAGGAAACCATAGAGATCCTGGAAAAGCTGGATATTGAATCCGTTTTATCGGATGTATCTATCGTTAGTTTTCTTACTGAACTGCTGAGGAAGAGTTTTACCTCGTGCTCATCCAGATAAGAGTGAGTAAAAGCATAAACAGACGGCAGCGTTGATCCGGATCAACTCGGGAATTAACTGCAGTTGATCGCGAGTAAGTACGAGTTGATCCGGAACAAAGCTACCGTCTGTTTAATCTTTAAGAGTACCTAGCAAGCATAAGTACCTTCACTCCTACTTTGAGACGAAGGGACATACTGAACAATTTGAAAATAAGGGATATAGGTGGTTTGTTATTGACGGGTTCGTAGTTCAGAAAAAAACCTTAAGACATCTGACCACAAGCATATGAGCTTCTACAAGAATATCGTAACTTGGTTGTAAATTTTGTCAAGTATCGGTTGAGTGTAGACCTTAGCAAAACGAAGCTTAAGCAGATACAAAATTTATGATATTTATGGTATACTACTGATCATATTCACGATGTTATAATAGGCTGTATTCCATTTATACTCTCTTGTAGAATGACATGTAAGTTGCAAACTATCCCTAAAGTCAAAAATTGAAGAAGAGTTAAGGTGCTGAAGAGCCATTAGCATGTGCTGGACTCTTTCGTAGGTATGGTATGGTTTATTGAACTCAAAAATGCAGGTTCTAAATTTTCTTCTTCCAACAGTCATCCGGAATTCCACACCTTTGCCGGGACCGATTTTATCCGTCACTATCCCCATTCCAACGAAAGAATTCTATGAGGAGGTTTTTTTTATGGATGGCTCGGAGGTATATGAAAACTTGGGTAGTTTTAGGAGTCTTCTGAAAGAAACTCTGATTTTCCACTCTATCGCACTAGTCTACTTCGTAGGAGTTCCAGAACACAACGGTATCGCAAGCAGTTTAAATACTGGTGAGCGTCCTGTCTGGCCGAGCCGTTCCCGGGTAAAAAGAGTTTTGCGTTCTTTTGGCCCCATGCGATCTTTGTCTAGACAACTCGCTAGACCTAGGCGGCTCATAATAACTGAATGGAAGCCCAAAAATACAAAGCGACCAGGTTTTCTGATTTCGGATAAACCAGAGATGTTCCAAGGGTTCCTAAAGCTAAATAAATTACAGGTCTGATTACTGAAGGAAGTCTTTAATGGTATTTGTTCGAATAGAATTCACCAGAGTAGGCTCAAGGCACCATTCGGTTTTCCCGCATTTACCCGCTCCTGTTCTTTTTGTTTCCTTCCCTTAATGAATGCTATCATGAAAACGGGCCTATTTTTTGCTAGACTAAGGCCGTCTGCTTGCATTTAATTTTTCAATGCATTTTTGATACTCACCACTTAACAAATAATCACATTTTGCCACCAGATTTAATATATGTGTATATATAATGTTTATCTACACATTTGTCATCCCACACTTTCACACATACATCCGTCTACACATTCATCTTCCGCTTGCCCACTGTTGAATCTTTATTTCATGCCGCAGCAGCAAGCCCAGCATACGTAGAAAGTTATCGCCATACAGCAGTTTTGCCGCCAGAGTTACATGGCATACAACTGTCACACCAAGCCACGGCTCGTTTTCGCTTTTCTCGCAGCCGCATCGTCAAGGTGGTGGCGCCCCATAGAAGCTGCGCTCCTTTGCCGTATTCTTGCCAGTAGCAATTTTCTTGAATTTCACCACAACACGCATGCGTTGCAAGAACTCATCATGCAACAAATTCACACACATAGATGTGAGTGTCAGTCCACTCAGAATATACGCCACGCAGAACCATACCACCAATGTCGAAGCGGTTGTAGCCGGACGCACATGCGCGCCTGGCAGCAGATCACAAAATCCGATTGTGGTCAGACTCATGAAACAAAAGTAGATGCCATCGAAGAGTGACCACTGCTCGAGTAAGGCAATGACGAGCGAACCGAAAGCGATATACGCTAGCAGCAGCACCACACAGAAGCCGAGCGGCAGCGCCAAGGACCAGCGTAGAGTATGCGCGCTGCCGCTGCGCATGCGGCCAGAGTGTACGGAGGAGAGTGGTGAGTGCTCAGCGGCATAGCTGAGCGCATCCTCAGCCGGAGGACGCACGTAGCAGTAGGGCAAGTGTGCCGATTGCGTGGAGGGCGCTGTTTGTTGTTGCGCAGACGTTGCTGAACTCGTCGAATGCTGCTGCTGCTGCTGTTGTTGGTGATGTTTTTGTAGCTGTTGCAGCTTAAGATTGCACTTTTTATCGGAGACCTGTTGTCGGCTGAAGCCACAAATTGTGTGTCGTTTATTTGTGGATGCGCGACAAAAGCAACAACAGAGCAGACGCTCGCAAAATCTGCTCGCCAACTTGGCCAGTATGCTGCCGATGCTCGAGAGATAGACCAAGGTGAGTGGTATGCCCAGTGTGGCGTACACAATGGTCACCATGCGACCAAGTGTGGTGCGTGGCGTGATAGTGCCATAGCCTGAAACGAGAGAAGAAATTTGATATGTAAATAGTTGATGGAAGGATCTTGGAAGGAAATGCCGCTTAATTTTAATCTCTCAAAATTGAGTAAAAACTTAAAACGCTGAGCCACAAGATGCGGTCGAACCCGAAGAAAGTCGCCCTTTCATACCGTCGGGTATTCGGAGCTTAACGGAGATCTAACATCGTCAGTCCTACTACCCATCTTTCGAGGAAGGCAGTTACCGGCTGGATTTCGACACAAAAACTCAGGACGGAGTAGAATTTAACAACGTACGAAGGACGGAATACTATCGACGACCTCATTCAGCCTTTTCTTTGCAAAACTGCGCTTACTACCTTGGAGAATTCCAATTAGCCCTACACGCCGCAGATTTTTCACTGCCCTAGACTATAAACGAAGCACAAACTGAACACTGATATCGATGGAGCTAAAATTTCGATCACAAGCACCCTGATACTTTTAATAGCCTCGTTTTCTACTTGGCGCAACTTACAGCAGTAAGTAATGAACTCGGTAGCAGATACAAGGCCCTCAATCCGCTGGGCTGCAACTTTCCACCTACGTACCTATCGGCTGGACTGTAATAAACTAAGTAGGATGACTAACAGCAGACCGTTGACACTCCAGCCGTTCGGCGTAATACCTTTGGATGCCTCCTTATGATTGAAGAGTATCTACACAATGAGTTACTAAAGCCTTCAATGAAGCAGCACAACAAATTAAATTAATAACATACTTTCAAGAAGCACTTGTTTCCGTCCCACCCATTTCCGTTGCACCATTTCCGTGTGCAATTTCCGTTGAATTTGCCAATTTACTACCAACCAACCAACCGCCGCTAAAGAAGTTTCACTCTTGGAATAAGTTACGACCGACAAGTGAACTAATCTGAACACCTGCAGACGACGGCTATTTGTTTGGCCCACACTTCGTTATTAATGAACACGAAACCTTAGACTTTTCACTATAAGATTGTTAAGTTTAAAATTTTACACAACGACTATTTTGAAGTATGCGGCTTAGACTACTGGAAACCGGTGTCTTAGAAGATATATGTGACAAACGAATAGTGGTTTCAGGAGAAAAACAACCTGGAATCGTTGAAGCTCGGAATGGCTTAAACACTTCATGTAGAATTAAAAAAAAAATAAAAACACTCCTGAGCATTAGATCGGATTTCTGTGGCGACCGAGTGGACTCTACAGAACCAAATAACCAACTCTATCTAAGCAAATATAACTCAACAACCAAGATGTACATACATATGTAGGCAGTGTTTGTGCAGACCATATTTTTTACCATGACATATGTACATACATATATTGGTTGTATCAAGTTTTATTTTAAATTCAACCAAGTGAAGAAATTATTTTTAACTAATTTCCTAATACACATTCTCTAAAATTTTTTATAAACTCACCCACTGTCGTCACAACGGTCAGCGAGTACAGAAAGGACGTTGCGAAATTCCATTCAAATTGTTGTTGCTGCTGTTGCAATAACCATTGACGTTGTCTTGCCGCCTGTAATTGCCAGTAGCGTTCTAGTTGCTGTTGCTGTTGTTGACGCTGTTGAGTTGCATCATTGCCATAATGTTTACTGGTAGCCGCCGGTTCCATGCTGTGATAATCGTACGGCTGTGATGGCGGCTGTTGTCCAAAGTTGTTTTCTTGTTTTGCAAGTAGTTGCTGTTGTTGTTGTTGATACTGGTGCCTTGAATATGCATCGTTCGATGTTGTTGTGGACGCTGTTGATAGCGTCAAATCCATGACAAGCCGCTTGACTAATTGATCCTGAAATTTATTAATCTCCAAGGCAGCCAATCTGGTTGTTCGTACATTATGTGTGTGTGTGTGTATGTGTGATGAGAAATTCGAGAGCAGCAGTTAAGAAACGAAATAGAGGTGAAAGATAAAATTGCATTTAGTTTAATAGCATTAAGTTTAATTAAATTACGACTAAGAAGTGTGTAACAGACAAATTTGATTAATGTCAAGTGGGCTATCTAAGTGCTTTTGTGGGTTTTAAAATTGTATTGAATTTTACTTAAGTTTTCAAGTAGCATATTTCAGTGGGTTCGTGGTTTATTTAAGCACTTTGTGACAGCAGCATAATTTGCCTTAACTTAAATACCAAAAAAAAAGTTATATAACTTGCATTAGAGACTTTGTTCGGCGGCTTACAAAATTAGTAGTTATAGAGGCTGGCTTCTGAGTATTTAAGAACTATGTAAATGTAGCGGGGAAATCATAAAAAGATCCGAAAAATATTGAAAAAACTATTAGTTAATAGATGAATAATTCTTCACAATTGGAAGTTCTACCAAATTAAAAATAATATCAAAGTTCGAGAATTTCAGTTATGAAATTGGTTTTTATGTAGTTTTATTGTAGTGATTTTTTTCTAATTAAACTTAAAAAATTGAATTTAAAATTGAAATAAATAGTGCCGAGAGTTCTAGAATTAAAATTTTTAGATTCCAATTTTCTATTTTTTTATTTTACGTTAAAAATTTTTTGATTCAAATTTTTTAAATTTTTTCAGTTAAAATATTTGTGAAAACTCTTGTATCCCCTTTAAGGAAAGTAATTTAAGTGGTTTATTAAATATATAAATAACCGACAGATAGTTCTAAATACTAAATTTGAAATCTGGATTTGCAAATTTGAGTTAGAACTTTTTTTCTTAATAGTCGAAACCTCTAGAATATAAAATTTTTGAATTTGAATCCAAATAAAAAATTTCAATTTTATTTTTTTATTTCACTTTTAAGTTTTTTCAACTAAAATTTTTTAATTTTTTCAGTTAAAATAATTGTGAAAACTCTTCGAGATTCACGAAAGCAATTTAAGTGGAAAATTAAATATAATTATTTTTTTATTTAATATAAAAACTCACGGAAGGAATTCGTATAGAGTTTTGCTTTGATTTAAACACGCAAAATGTTGTTTTCAAGGTTTCGAAAAATACTTGCTGAAAATGGCGGTAAAAAGTTTTTTCTTCTCAAAAATTAAAAAAAAAATGTACTAAGCAACTTTTCCCACAAGTAATTTGAATTCTTATCACAGAAAGCGGAGTCGACCCGAGCGAAGCCGTTCCAAGCTTCCAAGTTAATGTAGCAATATGATGTCTATACATCAAGCTTTTCCAAAATCGTTTTGGAGCTGAATGCAAAGCATGTTTTGATTTACAAATTTCTTCTTTGATTTTTCAGCTTCATGCGAACAAAAAACTAAAATAAATAATGGAGAATTGAAACAAATTGAACAAACATTTTAGCCGCTTTTCATTGACGGTAAATTTTTTGATATTTTTACGATTGATTACTTGTAAAAAGCCCCGCCGCTCCTCTTCGTTCAATGTGAACACCAGCTGTTCGGCTTTCTGTGTGTACTCACCCTTAGGATTGACCGTTTGTAGTTTCTTTGCAATTTTTCTTCATAAAAAAATTTTGAATTTTTGGAAAAAAAAAAATTTATATTTCCATGAAAAGTTTTAATTATAGAATGTATTGTTGTTTAAGTGCACCATTTATGCACATTTTCTATTATTTTTGCGTGCATTTTTTAATTAAAACGTTAAAAAAATTTTTATTACAAATTTCTAATCATATTTCGAATTCAACGTAACTATGTATATTAAATTTAAAATTTAGAAAAAAAGTTGAGAATTTCGCTTTGTACAATTTTTGTTTCGAGTATATAATTTTTAGCTATTGCAAACGTTTAAACATGTGTGAGTTTTCAATTAAAAAGTGTATACGACACTGTTTTCAATTCAAAAAGTGTAGTGGTTTCGAAAATTTAATTTTTAATTAACAAAAATTACTTCGAAACTCATAAAACAAAATTTTAAATGTGTTTAGTCTTGAAATCTCATATAAAAATTTTATATACTTTTTTTTTTTTTAAACATCAGTTCAAACTAAGAAAATATGAAAACTTCACGTTTTACACTGAAACTCAAGCGAAAAGTCTGAAATGTCTATATTTTTGCAAGAAATTTTAAATGAAAAATTTCAATAATCAAATTAATTTTTTTTTTTTAAGTTATAAATTTGGTATTTAAACACAATTTAAAATAAACCAAAAATCAAAAACATCAAAAAAATAAAATTATTATTCATTATATGCATGTAAATACAAATTTTTAACTGAAACAATAAATTAGTTTTTAACTTTTTCTGGTTTAAAAATTTTGCTACACAGAGGAATCGAAATTTCAAACTGAAAAACATAATACTCGCAATACTTGCGAGGCTTATCTTTTTCCACTTCTTTCTGTAAATTAGAAACTTTTGAAGCAATTATGAATAAAATATTTTCGTTAATTTAAAAACTAAAATTCTGTAATTAAATGTAAATAATGAAAAATTTCTGAATGAGTAATAAATAAGAAAATTTAAAATATATTTTAATATTAATAATGAAAATTTTAAATTTTGTATGAATAATTATTTTAAATTTAAATAAACATAAGTTAAAAATTTCAGAATTTATTTTTCTTTTACATATTTTTAAATAAAAACTTTGAAAAAAAATAATAATAAAGGATTTTAATTTCGATTAAGCATTTTTTTTATTTAGCAAGTTGAAAAGGAAAATAAAAAATTTAAAGTTACCGTTTCAAAAAAAAAAAAAGAAAACAATTCTTTACAAATTTACAATTTTTAATATAAAAATTTTAATTGTACATAAAAAATTTAGCTATAAATTTTTTGTTTTAAAAATATGGCTTAAAAAATTTTTTTTCGGCTATGGAAACTTTCCTTTTTGCCATTTCTTAATTTAGTTTAGATTTAAAAATTTCAACGACAACTATTATTAAAATGAAATCCTCACTACCAAAATGGGGTTTCAACCAATATGTACCTACACATTTATACATCGCCAGCCTCAAATTTCATGAGCAATTCACGCACTTTCATTATTATTGTTAATTATTACTCACTTGGTCCAATTCTCCTTGTAGAGTATATTCAATGAAACCGTTATATCCCAAATATTCTCCACAGTACGCTGCAGTGCCACATTTTCACCGCCCCAAGCGCCACCAGCACCAGCCGCAGCGCTAGCCATATCACCATCGCCAGCCTCCCCCTCAGACATCGCAACACCAACGACCCCACCGACATCAACTTCATCAACAGCACCGTTAATGTCACTGCCAATGGCAGCATCAATGGCATTAACAGCAGCTCGTCTAAAGGCTTGCGCCTCCACTGCCTTCGCTTGTCTTTGCAGCGTTGAATAAGTGGCAACGTCATTTGGCTGCTGCTGCCGCAACTTGTCGGCGTGCCTGTTGTCAATGTATGTTTCCGGATTTTCCGGCTGTGCAATCACATCACCATGTGCAACACTCATTGCAACTGCACCGGCTGTTGTGTCATTCACCGCAGCCTGCCTCTTCACATTCGGCGTGTTCACGTGAAAGTTGCCACTGCTATCGGCGCTGCCTTCGTATTTGTGTGGCTTACCTCCATCAGCTACAGCTGCGCCTTGCAAGTGCTCCCCTTCTCCTCCTGCGGTTGCCACATCCAATAACGGTTCACTTGGTTTGTATAACTTTGGCTGTGCTTCGACAAAGCTGGCATGCTCTGTTGTATGTTTCTGTTGTTGTTGTTGTGTCGATATGTATGCATTTTGCGCGTACGACCAGGCATTCGGATCACTGACAACGCCAGCTGCGCTGCCTCCATCGCCGGATGTTTCTATGGTGAGGAATAGAAATGAACCTGTGACAAAGAGAAATGTAATTGAATTTTCTGATTTTGTTAATGTGAATCGAGGGGGGGGGGGTTAAATTTTTTGTTGTTGAAAATGTTTGCTACTTTTTGCAAGCTCGGTGCAGAAGCCCGTACAAATATAAATTAAAGAAGCCTCAGATACATATATGGGGAAAGTATAAAAAACTTAGTTTTTGCCTTAATTAAATTTGTAACAAACCTGTACGTATTTAAGTAAATATTTTATGCTTAATTTATTAGTAAGACAGCAGCTTAAAATTTTAAATTTTAAATAAAAAGTTGAGAGAATAATTTGTTTATTACCGTCAATTTCAAAAGTTAAATTTTTAATTTGAAAGCACCCTATTCGATTTTGGTTGACTTCTAGTCATACTTAAATAAATATGAAGGTATTAATTTGTTAAGTTTAAAATTTTGAAATTTTGAATTTAAATTATAGAAAACTGATTTCTAAAATTGTAAAGGTTTCTTTAATCGTTAAAATTGTTTAAACAAATGCACTACAGAAGACTACACTAGTCAGAAAGCTAGCTTGGGTAGAGCGAGTGGCACTCATTGTTATCAGAGGTGCTCGTAGCACCACTCCCGTTAGGGTACTCAACGGCATGCTGAACATACGGTCTCCGATATCACGCCCTTTCTTCACCCAACTCCCCCCTAGGGGTGAGTGGCCAAGTGGAAGCAGGTAGCAGGTACCCGCGAAATTCTACATAGATGGGTGGATGCCTGAATGGAGGGTTTTTTAGAGGGATGTTTTGTAAGTAGCCCTCCCAATCTCAAATTTAGTCTTCCAGATTACAGTAGTTTTTCCTTTCTCTTAAGCTGCCTAAAATTTTATTTATTAATTTTGTAGCGTAAGTTAAATAAAATGATTTTAAAAATGCAGAGATTTTTTCGCTGAAAAATTTAGGCTACAAAACTAATTATTGGAGTCCTCTATTTACACACTTTAAATATTACAGCTTTCTGATTAGTGGTGCAAATTAAAAAAAAAACGCTATTTAAAATTTTTAAGTTATTGCTCTGATAATTTAAATATCAACTCAATGCAAATTAAACTTTCGACTTCCAACACTCTCCAACGTATTTCCGCTTTCCACCTAAACATTTTCCAGACTTTACATAATCTATTGATTTGTGAATTTAGAGTTCACAAATAAAAGCAAACAAACCACAGCTACGAAAGTCGCGCGCAATACAAATGCAGAGATAGAAAATTTAAAATTCCAAACGCAAATAAAAAAAGCGACGCAAAAATGCCAAACGCGAAAAATTACAGCATTCCCAAATGTATCTATACTCACCAATGAATAGATAGCCGAGCAGCAGCGTACAAATACCCAAATTGGCAAACAATGCAGGCCAAAAAGTCAACGCGGCCAATTGCTGCTTATCGCCGTCCGCTTCGTGCGCCATCCCCTTGCCGTCGCTGCCTGCCACCCCACCTCCACCGCCAAAGCAACCGCAAAAATTGTCGCGCTGTGGTGCACCACCACCACCACCACCACCACCCAACTGCCGCTGCCTATGCGGACTGTTCAAGTTGCTACCTTTGCTGCCGCTGGCGCTGCTATTGTTGCTAATTTTTAGAATTGTTGCTGAGGGTGCCACGAGTGGTGGCGCACCAGCGGTGATGGAAGCAGTAGTACCCACACCAGTGCTCGCCATGAAAACATCCATACCACTGAGCATTTTTGAAGAAGCGCCGCCATTACCACAGCCACCACCTAAACTTGCTACCGACGCGTAACGATACAATTCACTGCCAACAACCACTCCTCCACCACCTGCTTCAACTGCACCACCACACTCCACATAGCTGCCCACATCAATTCCACACACTGTGGCATTATTATTCGTACTGTTGCTTTCGTGTTTGTATGTAGTTGTTGTTGTTGTTGTTGGGGCTGTTGGGGGTGTTGGGGCTGTTGCTGCTGGCAGCGTTGATTCATAGTGATAATCCGCATGGTCAATGGTCGCACAAATGTTGGAATTCGCGTGTTGTTGTTGTTGTTGCTGCAGCTGTTCTATGGGTGTGGCTGCGGCTGCTGGCAGTGATAATTTCTCGTTCATTGAGTTTGAAATTTTGTCGTTGCGCGCGTGTTTGTTTTGCTTTGTTTTGTTTATTTGTGTGGGTGGTGGTGTGTTGGCGCGTTTTGCTTTCACTTTTTTCCCTCGCTGGCTGTTTCGCTTTTTGTTTTCGTTTATCCTGGCTTGGGTTTCAGTTCATTGTGTTTTCGTTCACGTCGATTTTTTCGGATGAGGATTTTCTTTTTTTGTTGCCACGTTTTTAAAATTGTCAAACGCTGGCTATTTTTCTAAGAATTTTTATTTATTTTTTTCATTTTGTCATTTTGTACACTCTTTACTTTGCATTTCAATATCAGTTTATTTTGCCTCACTTTTTAATCTCAGTTGCGGAGCTTCTATTTAGCTGTGTTTTTAATTTTTCATTATTTTTTATTTTATTTCTGTCTTTTTTGATTCCCACTTTAATTCCTTTCGCATGTCATTTCTCTGCTGCGTTTTCCTTATCAGCCTGCTACTATCTCTATTCAAGCCTCAAGTCATCTTTCAATGCTGCCGAGACGAATAAACAAACACGTAAATACATTTTAATATGTAAATAAGTTCGTAAGCTAGCCAAGATTTATCTTATCCCTCGCCTTGATTGAATACCTAATGGAAATACGAATAGATAATCATTCCCAGAATTCCACTGAGAATCAGCGTGACAACAACAACAGCTTTTGATTTATAGCACGTAATTAAGAATTCCCCCAAAAAAATAAAAAATTGAGAAAAGTAAAATCTCATTTGCATACGCTCTGCCCATAGCAACAAGAAAAAATTCTTCGTTAACAATTTTAAATTCTTTTGCTTAAATTAAGAAGTGAACAGCTTCTGCCTAACGTTAGAAAGTAATATAGCCTTTGCGCACTGCTCGTTAAGGTATTTTAGCTAAAAAGTAGACAAAAGTGGACGATTGTGTAATGCCGAATTTCCACTAGGCATTGAATTACAAAGAATTTGTATGGCTCAATAGCATTAAGTGACGGTAGGACAGTCATGGCTCAATCTCTAGCTCTCTTCATTCTGTATAGTCAAGTAGACATGCATACATATACAGTGACGAACAAAAGTATTGGCATAGCGAATTTTACGCAATATACACAAAATTTTTTATTCTAATTTATTTTCGGTAATTTTTTTTTAAAATATTGTCCATTTTACACCAAAAAAACATAAAAATAAAGTCTCTAAACTTTGTGCAGAACTCAGGAAAATCCATTAAATTTACACACTAATTTGCAACTTTTTATTCAGATTTTTTTTAGAAAAATTGTAGATCTCTAATTTTTGGCAATTTTTTTAATAGAAGGTGTTGCTCATTTTCTCCATACAAAAAATAATTGTCGAATATACTTTGTATGGAAGAACTTGCGTGAAAAAAAACCACCAAAAATCAACGCAATTTTCTAGCAACTTCAAATTTGCACTTTATTATACTAAATTTGAAAGGGCTATAAAACTGCATACTTAGAATTTTTATAAAAAATCTGAATAAAAAGTTGCAAATTAGTGTGCAAATTTAATGAATTTTCCTGAGTTTTTCACAAAGTATAGAGAATTTATTTTTATGTTTTTTGGTGTAAAATGGACTATATTTTTATAAAAAATCTGAATAAAAAGTTGCAAATTAGTGTGCAAATTTAATGAATTTTCCTGAGTTTTTCACAAAGTATAGAGAATTTATTTTTATGTTTTCTGGTGTAGAATGAACAATATCTTTATAAAAAATTATCGAAAATAAATTAGAATAAAAAACTTTGCATATATTGCTAAAAATTCACTGTGTCAATACTTCTGTGCGGCACTGTATATGTATGTCCATATTTATCTTGAAGCCGTTGGTATGCTACAAACCACTTTTATGCGTCCTTGAGCTACAATGCATACAAAAAATGGAAGCGTCTGGAATCGATGGAGGAAGTGATATATAGGTGTTTCCATGATGTTGGGCGTGAAATTCGTACGACTTAGAGTTGAATAACTGATACGAAAACGGAAGTCAGTTATAAAAAAAATGTGCCGTTGTGTAGCTTTTAAGCCATTCGTTGTTTGACAAAAAACATTAGGTGCGCTTGGAACACTGGGCGTGACAAAAACTGAAGTGGTTCGGAGTACATGTCAAAATAAGCAAAACTCGGCGAATCCTGTGAGGTCATCCCTTTCATCAAAGTTTTTTTAAATAAAGTTAAATTAAGGAACAGTACAATTCATATTTAATATATTGTCAATAATACATATATAATTCAATTTTTTATTTATTTTTTTTAGTTTTTCCCTCCACCATTTCGCGTTTTCATAACATCTTTTCGTTTGAACCAATTTGCTTGCATTTTCGGTTTACATTTTCATGGAAACAGTCATATGTATGTAGTTATGATATTGTTTACGATTTTGCATTCAAAGCTCTATGATATTGATATTATCTTCGATATACTTAACGATATTTTTATTAATTTTCTTATCGATTATGTTCCGGCTGTTAATTTTGTTTTCACTTCTATTGTTGTCGCTTTAGTGATTTATTGATCGATAAGGTTTACGATTTCGCGTATATATTATCTTCAGCGATAAACTTTATGTTATCGATATTTTTTTGTTGACTTTGTCATCGATTACTTTTTCCAGTTTTTATCTGTTAAGTTATTGATATAGAAATGGCTATCTGCGAACATGCGAGTATATGGCTATGTATTAGTGGTGTTATAATTATTGTTATCGTTAGTTTACTTTTACACGTTATCGTGTCTTTTATCGACTATTTATCGGCGATTGATCAGTTAAGTTGTTTATATTTGTCTTTAAGGTTATTCATATCGCTACCAGAACCGTTGTTGAGTGATTTATTGTCCACGTTATAGATAATTTTTGTGGTATCAATTTGATTTTTTTATCAAATTTTTTATCGCTGGTTTTTGTTTGTCTCTCCACGATTTACGTATCGTTTATTTGCTATAAACTTCACTATTGATATTATTATAAATTATTGTTATTGATGCAGTTTATAAATCATGTTATCTATAGGTCGATATCAAATCGGTATACGCATGGTCATTGATATCCCAACCTATATCGCGGTCGGTTAAATTATTGCTAAGGCTATCGGTATTTTTTGCGATACCAATATTTTTCTCGATGTTTCACATATAATTTTTTTATAGTTTTTATCGATTAAGTTATCGATATTTGCTATTTAAATATCGCCTAACGCTATTAGCATTCCTGTTGTTGTGCTAATTAATATTATTTGTATTGATTTTTTGTAAGTGATCACTGTTTTCAGAGAACATCCTCTCGATGTTTTTAATGATACCAATATTTTTATCGATTTTTCACATTGAACTTTTTTGAGCTTTTGTCGGTTGAGTTATCGATATTTTCTACATATCGTTATTAGCGTTGCTGTCGTTACCCGTGTTATTTATATCGTTTTCTCGTGCTATCGTTATATTTGTTGATAATGACATCGATAATTTGACGCTATATTTATTATTTTATTTATTATGTAGGCATAATTTTCGATGTTGTTCTAAGCATCACTTCAATTATTGAGGTCGATATAGTTATCGCATTGTTTGTTAGCAGATGTTGTAGTTATCGGAAAAAGTGGTTTTACATGAAAACGTGCAGAAGAGAGAAAAAGAAGAAGCAAATAGAACTGACTTTAACTATTTTCAAATTTCTAAACATTGCACCAGTGTTTTATGGAACAAACCGGAACTTTCATTATAAATTGGAACAAAGCTTCGCGTTGTTGAGTGGACCTTATGCAGGAAAAGTGAGCTTAAGCTCCGACTCGATTTTCAGTACAATTTCTTGAGCTTGAGCTCAATGCATCAGTGCAAAAATTGAGTCTGAGCTTAAGCTCACTTTTTATGCATAAGGCCCAGTACCTTAATTAGAACTTGATAAAAGCTGCTCACAAACCATATTTATATCCCTCCCTCCACCGATTATGCGATGATAATGCGATTTCCAATGGATATTTCTCACAATAGATATACGTTTTTTTTGTCACGTTATCTAGCAAAATTTTTCTTTGTGCTATGATTCCATATGCTATGCGCAATATTATCAAGCTTTCGGTTTTTGTTTCTTTTCCTCTTTGAAATTCCCAAAAATCATTTGCTTTCATATTATCTGCACCTAATTTTCACTCCTTATTTTGTTTTTGCTTTACTCTTCTTTTTGAATTTGCTCATTTTTTCGGCTTTTTCCTCACATTGATTGGCGTTCTGTGGTGTTTCTGTTGAAATTCTTTTGTGCTTTCGTATTTTGCGCATTATATTGTCCATGATTTTCTTTTTTCCAAAAGCTCGCAGAAAATATTTAATTTAGTTCAATTTCGTGGCACATTTTCTTTGATTTTTTTTTTGTTGTTGTTCATTGCTCTTTTTTGGTGTTTGGCGTGGTTTTCGCTTTTATTCGCTGCATTGCCCTGAAAAAGCCAAACAAAAGCAAAAAATGCTGTCAGTGAATGATTAGATTTTAATCTGCGGACATAAGCGAATGTATGATCTCATGTGCATTTGTAAGTGTAAGTATGTTTATTAAAATAATATTCGTGTGCACTTGGGCTGATTAAATAACATTATTTACTTACACATATAAGATACATGAAGTAATCACGCTTTGCTCATTAAAATACTGTAGATGTAAGTATGATCCTTCTGCGGAAATATGTACATAAGTATGTATGCTGAGGAAATTTAATCAATAAAAAATTCCAAAAGTAATGCAAAAAAATTTTATAAAAAAAATGTACCCGAATTTATTGAATAAATTCTTATAAAGTTAAACCAAGCGTGGAAGAAATTAAAAAAAAAAATTGATGATCAATTTGTTTTAATTTTTTCCTGCATTGATTAAATGTCGAAATATTTCCTATTTTCCGGTAATTTCACCTTACATAAATTTAACCGCATATCTTTGTGAACAAATTTATCAAAAAAAAAAAATAGCTTCATTTTTGATTGGACATCGAAATAGACGCTTTTCTTTATATAAATTACAGCCAGAAGCTGCCTAAATTTAGTGTTTGAAAAATTAATAATTTTAAACTAGTAGAATGTGTGCACATATTTACCAAACGAATTTTTAATCTACGCAATTAAAAAAGCGGCCGTTGTGGTGTAATGATTATCAGTGTGCGCTACCACTCCGCGGGGCCTGGGTCCAAGCCCTGGTCAAAGCTATATCGCAAAAAAATATAGAAAAAAAGTTTTTTTTTAACAGCGGTCCCCCTCGGCAGGCAATGATAAACCTGCGAGGGTATTTCTGCCATGAAAAACAGCTTTTCATAAAAATATAATTAACTGTAGGTCCCCCCTTTCGGCCAACCACTAACATATGTGTAAGCGCCAATCTATTGTTATTAATTTAAAAAAATAAATAATTTTTAAATAGAAACCAGGTTTATTCTTATTTTGTACGATCAAAACTATGACTACATTCTGTTAGGCCGTTAAAGCTCTAGCTTTTGAGCAATAAGGCAAAACATATTTACAATTTTTTTTTTTTTAATTTGTTTTTTTTACAAAAAATTTGCCGAAAATGTAGTGTAGTTGTAGTGTAAAAAGTCAAGCACAAAACATCTACAAACATTTTATTTTTACAAATTTCGCTTTGCTATTTTCAAAATCTTAAAGTTGTAACTAATTAAGCCTTAACTCATAACGCTAAAAGTTTGTATTTAACAGCAAGTAAAAAAAAAATTCAAAAGCGCGCAAATTAGGAAAAACCGATTATTATAAAATTAGCCGCAAACATTTTTATATTTTTACTCGAATTTACTTACAAAATATAAAAACGTGAAGGTGGCCTTATTTTCTTTCGTTTTCTTATTCGGTTTTTTTTAGTTTTTTTTTTTTATTTTCACACTCTTAAAAACTGTGCTTTTCTGTTTTAGAGTGAGAAAAACTTTCATTTTCTTCGAAAAAAAATTTTTTTGTATGTTTTAATTGAAAATTTTCGAAAAAAAAAATTTTATATAGTATCAATCGAAATAATCAATGCGGAGCTTTTGCTAATGCGAATGTTGGGCAAGTCCACCGATAAAACGTATATATGGCAAACAAACTGACAAATTATAGCCAATATTTTTGCCTGCGGTCGTGGGAGTATTTGTGTAACAAAACTGGTGAAATGTCATATTTATCAACTTTGATAAAAATGTCTCTAAACATATTATTTCTTAAGCTATCTAAGCGAGCTATCAATGGGCAGTCATACAAGTTCCAACTTCAACTTGACCTTTGACGTACGTCAACGAGAACATAGTTTTTTTAACAATATTTTTTGTTTTTTCTTCTTTAAATACCTGCATTGCTTTCTTTATTTGTTATGATTTTTTTGGACCAATCTTAAAAAACTGCTAGACACAAAAGAAGAAAGTGTGCACTGTAATTATTAACCATATTTTTGTGATTTGCTTTTGACGTTAATAATAAACAGTAATTTTGTTTACTTGTCGGGCAATGATTTTTTCATAGGGATATACATTGGATACTTGGCAAAAAGCTTCTGTGGTAAAACTATCCCTTCTTTGTTATTTAAATTCAAAGAGTAAGCTCCTTCAATAGGTATTTCCAGTAGAATGGTCAATGTCTAGCTATAAAGAGAATCGATGCTCAAATAATTAAAAAGCTATAGGTCTGACCTTTAATAAGATAAGAACTACATACGTAACTATCTATGATTCAAATGCTTATAAAAAACGGGGTGCTTTTTTAAAAAATAACAGTATTCTGATCCGATTCGGCTGACAGCCACGACTTTGAAAACAGAATTTTGTTCAAAATTTTCATTCCTGGAAAATAATAATTTATTTTCCATATCCACCTATTTAGCTCGCTATAATCACAAATTGTTCAAACCAGTCGTATTAAATGAATTATAAAAACTAAAATCGAAAAACGATGATGAAGTTGCATACAGAATGAAAAATTCTTTTTAAAAAGCTTTAGAAAAACCTGACACATCTGGTTTGGCTTGTAAGCGCTGTTTACACAACGATCTCACCATTATGCTACATAGATTCTAATTGTTTCTTAAAAATACTTGACATCCGCATTCGCATCCGCATCCGCGGATGTTAGCGGTTAGATACTCGCATCCGCATTCGCATCCGCGGATGTCTAAAACTCCACATTCGCAACATCCCTAGTATGTACACATACTTTTTTTAATTTCTTTAAGATTTTTAATTAATTTTTTAGTTAATTTAATTTAAAAAGACTTTTTTTTTACTTTTTAAGTTATTTTGAGAAAAAATGAAAATTTTTTGCTTGGGATTTTTCTTAATTGTTTTTTTTTTGTTATTTTGAGTTCATATTAAAATCAAAAAGAAAAAAATTGCCATATACGCCCATATGTACATATTTAAATAAAATTTATAAATTTTATAGAAATTTTGACTTGCCATTTTATTAAAAATTTAAAGGTTTTTTAATACATAGGTACATATTTAAAATTTGTTTAGTTATTTTAATATTTAAAACTTCGTTTTCTTTTGCTACTTTTTAGTGTTAAAAGATCGAATTTAGTTTTCTTAAAAAATCTGTCAAAAGTTGTTTTATCCATTTTTAAATTTCTAATGCAGGAAAATACTCAACGAAATTTTAGAAAATTAAATTTCGTTTTAAAATTTTTTACTTAGTCAATTTCATAAAAGCAGAAAAAAAAACATTTTTCATTTAAATTACTTCCGTGAAACCGACAGTTAACAAAAAATGTTTTTTTTTTGTTAAAATTTTTTTACTTTGTATTGTAAACTAAAAAATGACTGCCAATCAGTTTTAAATGAGTTTTATTTGTGTTCGACCGAGCGTTCGGGTTCGGGTTCGGTTAGCGAAGTTCGGCCATGAAGTTCGGGTTCGGATTCGGTTCGGTAGGCGTAAAAGTTATAAAGAAAGTTTTTACAAATTATAAAAATTTTATTTTTTTTTTTATTGAAGCGCCGCTTTCGCGTTTCTGTAATTTGATTTTATTGCTTTTTTGTGGCAACTTTCTTTTTTTGCCTTTCTTTTAATTTCATTTCCTTCCCGAAGTTTAAATGCCCGATACAACTTTGGGCAAGTTAAATTTTCAAAATTGCTTTGTAACTCGATGTCAAGTGAAAGGAAATTTTATTTCCACGTTTTAGCAGCCAGAAAGAACTTTCTGTCCACATGTCGGAAATCAGTTTCAGAAATAAAAAATAATAAAAATTTTACTGCACTTGAAAGAGTGAATATCGATTTCGAAAATATATTTCAACTTGCCCGTGCTGCACTAGCAATTTTTATTTCTGCTGCAAGTGCTTCCAAGCTAATCGGATGTTGCCATGTGAAACTGATCGCTTGTTTTTGAGAAACAATAACGGATAATTTACATAAAATTAAAATTAGAAATGCTTTTAATCAATTATTTTGCGGTATATAATTGCTTATGTAATTTGTACTCTAAAAAATTCGGATTCGGTTCGGTTTCGGCTGAACTTCAAGACAAAAAATTCCGGTTTTGAAAATAATCAAATTACTTAAATGAGCTAGAAAAAAAAATCGGGTCAAGCGTAGCTTATTCGACTTACATGACATTTAATTTAATTAAACGCCACTTTTTTTAACCTACCCAGCATAAAGCCAACGTTGAATATTTGCTCATCTCGCTCCCGGTCGACTTTCATAACTTGTAACATTGTAATACATTGGCAAATATTTGCACAACACCTCAGCACTTATTTATGTATGTATGAGTATGTAAATTGTATGTAGTTGAACAACTTGTTGCCCTAACAACTCAGTTAAGAGCAGCAAATCCTCACGCCTCAACGGCTGCGCTGGCCAACACGTTGAACTTAATACTAATGCTGCCTACTGCTTGCTGTCTGATGTGCCGTTGGCTGCTACGAGCAACAAAATTCTTCAACAAACTTACCACCGACCAAATCCCAGGCATCATCAACGCTTAGAGGCACGCAACTGCGGCGCTACAGTGAATTTCTATGCACACACACTTTTACATACGTATGTATATTGAAATACTAGTTTACGCTCGACATTGCCTTACACCCCAATAAACTTCGTCTTACTCTACTCTACTACTTTTTTTTGCATTTGCTTGTCTATGCCTTTCCTTTCTCTCATTTCTTTTTCTACTTCTTCTATCCTGCACTGGCACAGTTACCGACTCTCACCGGTCACACATTTCTTCACCCGTCCATTAACCAACTATTATCCGGCTTAGCTGCCGGTGGCTGCTGCTGTTGCCTGATGCTTGCTACAATGTTACGTATACGCACTGTTGACCACCATTTATGTGCACATATCTTGCTAGAACTTTTTTTTATAGCTCTGGCCACATTGTTGTTGTCACTAATACTCTCGTTATGCTCTGCTGTTGTTGCTTATCATACCGTTGAGGCGTAGCAAAAACTTTGTGGAGTAACTGATTGCAATT